GTTGCTGAGAGCTACCTAAAATTCTGAAAGAATCAATTGAGAGTTTTTCATTTGGTTTGAAGCCTGGCCTGAGAAAGCTAATGAATAGAGATCATGTGTTTTCTTGTCTACCGAACAGGTAATTAATTCATATTCTTAATTAATAATACCTCAAATATACACAAATAAACATAGGGTGACAAAATAAAACAGATAATTAATAAGTGAATTTTCTTAATGTATAATATGCGTAAATAATGTGTGTTTTATTTGTCTTTGTATAATTAAGTAATTAACATGTATTTTTATAATCTGATTAACCTAAATATATAATTTAGTAAATTGTTGTCACGTGTTTAATATTAGATTAAATAGGAAATATATTTCTAGTAAAAAGTTCCGATATGTTTGGCCAATGGATAAATATGGTGACAAAGCTTTTACTTAGAAATAATGTTCATTAAGATGTGTTTCATGATTTTCGTAGGTAGTCAACCAACTAAAGAACATTATTAGCCCAGGTAACTTCCGTGCAGGCACCAGGCGCTTGATTTTGATGGCCTGGCGGAGGATCTACTTGCCTGGCACAGGCAACTAACCAGGACATGAACCAACCATGGCACACGCAGGGAACAGGCAGCAGACCGGCCAGGCAAAGTTGCTTCACGCTCCTAACCAAACAAGCCCCTGCATATATGAGTGTCTGAATCTTTACCGTGATTCCATAAAAAAAAAAAAAACAAAGGTGGTGACCGCCGAACTGAGCAGCGACTAGCGAGTAGTTCAGACCGTAGATGAGGTCCAAGTATCATCTGTGATTTTTTTTTTTATTCATAGTATCATCTGTGATTTGATTGCTTGACAACTGAACAACCAAATGTCCCATTTGCAGGGCCGATCCGCGCCTCAACATGGAAAACAAACTAGTGCCGCCGGCATCGACTGCAACCTATCGTATCAAAAGAAACGATAGAGCAATCATGCAAAATATCTCAAGTACTTCAAACCTGTGCATGCATGCATATGCGTAGTGGCCTATAGCTACCTATATACCTGCCTAATCGAGACCGCGAGCGTGCCCCATCATGAGCCCATGCATGTTTTTATGATTTTGATGTCTGATAAGAGGCAAGACGACCAATAATCATGGAGTGCACGAGGAGGCATGTATATACTATATGTTTACTTCCTCCGTTCCAAATTATAAGATGTTTTGTTTTTTCTATATATATTGTTTTATTATATTATGTATCTAGATATAGTGTATATCTATGTATATATAGTAGAAACTATGTATCAAGAAAAGTCAAAACGTTTTATAATTTGTAACGGAGGAAATAACTTTATATATTGCTCGTCTTCTTCACAATGCAAGTTCTGAAGTTGTAGGTGCCGACTAACGAGTGTGTTGTACTACAGTTGAAGGACGTCCAGGATCAGTTTAGCACTTTCATAACACAACCTCCACCACAACCTAACACCCCCACCCAAAATACTCATCAAGGAGCCCTCAAACCCAATAAAGAAACAAACTCAACTAGTAATATTACTACTACATATAAATCAGTACTACATAAACCATTTTTAGAGGCACGTTTTAGGGTAGAGGCCACTCTATCAAAATCTTCCATTAAAAGTAGTTCTTGAGCCAGTCCGCCTTTAGAAGTTAATTTTTGAGGTGGCTGAGCTCTAGAAAATGCCCCCTATTTTCAGAGGTGGTTGACAAACCTAACTGCCTCTAAAATTACCATTTCTAGAAATGGATGCATTTCTGGAAATAGAGTGGTCATGCAAAATATATGTACAAATTAATTTTTCGAGATGGCTGGAATTACTAGGCACCTCTAGAAATGCCTTAAATTCTAAAGGTGGTTGGGAATTTGAGCTGCCACTAGAAATGGGTTGGCAATTTGGTCTGTCTCTAAAGTATGTGTTGCAGATTAAATTTCATAATTTTTTCAAATCAATCCAGATGAAGACATCGAAGTTGTAGTACTCAAACACATACAACTTTATAGTTGACAAGTTTTCCATTTAAAATCATTTAAGTCCAAAAATTTTGTTTTATTTTTTCATAATTTCAAATTCAATATTTTACATTCAAATGGCCTCGGACGAAGAAATGACCCCAATCAAAATTGTACAACTAGAAGGGATCCGAAACTTTGTAGTGGCGACTTTTTTATTTAAAATCATTCAGTGCTCAGAAATTGTGTTTTGTTTTGTTAGATTTTCAAATTCATTTTTCTTTCAAAGTACATCTGATTGAGAAATGACAACCAATGTTATATCACTCAGAGAGATATGCGAGTTCAAAAAAATTGAAATCATTTTGGATGTAAAATATGTTTTAAGATTAATATTTTAAGGTTCAATTTTTTTATTTTTTTCCAAATGAGCTCAAGATGGAGAAATGACCTAAACCAAAGTTATACGCAAGAAGATCTAAAACCTTACGATTCCAGTTTTTTTTAGTTTGAATTTGTATAGAATCGATCTAAAATATGCATTGTGATACTCACTAAAGTGAGATACAAAATGAATGTATGAGCTACTTAGTTACAATTTACAAACGGTAATGCTCCTGTTCGGCCGTCAGATGCCATACTCCCCTCAGACGTAGCTTCGCCTAAATAAATAAATAAACTCCGCACACGCCTGGCCGCCTCGCCTCTCTCGCTTCACACTCGCACACACAGGCGTTGCTCGCTGCTCTCGCTCTCTTTCTCTCTCTCTTGCCCGTGCCGGCGCGCGCCCTCCCCCTCCCAGTGTCCACCTTCCCACACCGGCGTCCCTTCCCCACGCCAACAAGAGATCCATAGAGCACGAAAGCGAGATCCATGGAGGGGTGTGGTGGTGTTGCAGGGGGTGGCGGCTCTCCCCTACCTAGGCGTGGTGCCCTCCCCACCCCTGGCGGCACCCACTCTCACCCTGACGGCCATGGCACTCCTCGCCCATGGTGGCAGTGGTGCTTGCACGCAGCCGCTCGTCGCCGTCTCTGACCCAACGACCGGAATCGACCGACCTAGCTTCCCCTCCCACATGTTGCATATGTATGTTTCAAGTGTTTCATGCGTTTTAGATGTATGTTGCAATTATTTTAAATGGATGTCGCAAAAGTAGATCGGAGGATGTTGCATATGTTGCAAGTGTTTCAGAGGCATGTTGCAAGCATTTATTCAAAATATTTCATATGTTTCTAGATGTATGTTGCAAGTGTTTCAGAGGCATGTTGCATATGTTTTCACACATATGTTGCAACAGTATGTTCCAAAATGTTTCATATGTTTTAGTCTTCTGATGCAGCAAGTGTTTTTATGTCACAAATTGCAAGTGTTCTATCTGGATGTTGCATATGTTTTCATACACATGTTTGCAAGTAATTTTCAAGTGTTTTTCATGTGTATTTTGCAAACGTTTCATACACATGTTTTGAATGTTTCAGCTGTTTCGTATGTATGTTGCAAGTGTTTTATCTAGATATTTCAAAAGTAGATCGAGGATGTTGTGCATGTTGCAATATGAGCCACCTGCCGCAGCCTCCTCCTGCTGCAGCTGCTTGAGTGCCGTGCATAGAGGGGACAGCGCAGCTGGTGTGGAGGGGAGTGGTGCAGCAGGCGTTGGCGCGGGCCTTGCAGGGAAGCGTGGGGGAGCGGCATGGGTGGGCCCGTCTCTGCGTGCAGCAGGCGTTGGCGCAGCGTTGTAGCTGGCGCGGGCGTCCGGGCACTAGTGCTGTCGATTTACCAATGACTTTGACGTGTAGTGCGAAATGGCAGGACTTGTGAAATTCTAGATTGGGCGTACCAGTAGTGTGTATTCTGCTAATCTGCAAACTTCATGGGCGCGAAAACCGCGCCAATGGAATCGAGCAACAGGCCTGGATGGGGGCAATCATGGATTGGCAGCCACGGCGCAGACGCAACGGTAATGATTGCGCCAATCCAGACTGGATCAACCGCAAAGCGCTCTTAGTCTCACGCACGCCCATTCGTCTTCTCGAGTTCTTTCTCGATCGTAACAGTATATAGGGCGGTAGCCGTTTGGGTGTTCCGCTAATGATGAGGCGCAGTGTGCTCGCAGGGCTTTTGAGGCCATTGCATGCAGCAAACCTTTCATCACCATCGGTCGATTGCACAGCCAACGGCGCCGGCCTGTTCGTTGACTCGCTGACCATGCATGCAGCTGTGCACAAAACCATGGTTGTTTGTTCCTGTTTTGAAATGCAGGTTCACTCAGATGCATGCCAAGTTGTGTTCCTGGGTTTCCTCCCGTGAACCAGTAGTGTGCTGTGGCTTTGCTCAAGGTTTTAGTGTTCAGCATTCAGCAACAAGAAGCCAAGCACCCTGATCCATCCACACACGGGCGCAAATCTTTGGTTAGGCCGCCCGTTCGTACACCCCTGGTACAACCACTGCCGCTAAACAACTTACAACTTGTACGTGCGCGATTCTCTGGACAAGCAGAGTATATTCAAGACTATAGAAGACTCCTTTCAAAGAGCATCTTTTTTGTTTCCTTCTTTGTTTCTTAAAATCTCTTATAAAGTTTTTACCTTAATTTAAAATTGTCAATGTAAGGCTTTTGTCCCTCCAGATTCTAAGAAAAAAGAGGAACAGGAGCTGGCTCGCATCACATGGCCCATCCCGGGGGGTCAGGAAGAACTCTGGATTGGGGGCATCATTGGAGGCTGCCCATGCTCAGACCATGCCATCCATGAAAAACACTCGCACACACACAGAGCAAAGCCCTGTTCCAGGCTTTCCTCCTTGGCATTTGTGGCGCTGCGGCGTGTCTTTTCATTCACCTCCACCAGCCGCCCGCCATTACGAAATAAAAAGCGTGCTATTAGGGGCGCTAATAGTATACTAATCATGGAGCAGCGCAGTAGCTTAAAGTGACCACCTAAGTGCCTTTGTTCCAGCAAGTCCCTTTTGCCTCCCAACAAAGTTTAACTTCACAAAGGATTAGAAGAAGAGGAGGAGGGCCAGCTAGATACATAGATCATCATGCCTTGTCCTCCAATGGATGCAACGAGTCCAGTCACCGCGAAGAAGATGAGCAGAGGAGCTGGGAAGAAGCCGTCTCGGTCTTCGTCGTCGTCGTCGTCGTCGTGGATGGCCAGGTCCATGGGGTTCTACTACCTGTCTTCCACCTCCAGCAAGGACAGAGCTCATCCAGCACCAGCCGCAGCAACAGACAGCAAGAACAGCAACGGCGAGAAGCAGAGCAACGGCAGCAGCAGCGGCAAGAAGAAGAGGAGCATCAGCATCGGCCGGAGCATGACGTGCGCGGGCTCCATCTGCAGCACCAAGGAGAGCTCGGTCATGAGCCGGGACCGTGACCGCGGCGCTGGACGCAGCGCCTCGAGCAGGTCTCTCAGGGCCCCCGACGTCGACGCCGTGTACGCCTCCACTGCCGCCGCCATCTCCGCCACGTCGTCCTTCAACTCGGACACCACCACGGCGGCGACCACCGTGACGACGTCCTCGTCCTCGCCGCTCTCGTCGCCGCTCTCCTCCGTCGGGAGCTCCTTCCGCGGCGTGCAGATCAGGAAGCTCTCTGGGTGCTACGAGTGCCACTCCGTCTTCGACCCCAGGAGCTTCGCCGCTGCTGCCGCCGCCGCCGCATTCCCCTGCGCCGACTGTGATGAGGTGTTCAACAAGGCAGAGTCGCTCGAGCTCCACAGAGCAACCAGGCACGCAGGTATCTTGAACTCTTCAATTCAAAATCCTTAAAAAAATGGCATCTTGCTTTGTTCAAGCCTCACATTCTTGCACATTTGCAGTTTCAGAGCTGGGGCCCGAGGACACGAGCAGGAACATCGTGGAGATCATCTTCCAGTCCAGCTGGTTGAGGAAGCAGGCGCCGGTATGCAAGATCGAGCGGATACTCAAGGTGCAGAGCAGTGACAGGACCGTGAAGAGGTTCGAGCAGTACAAGGAGAGCATCAGGGAGAGGGCGAGCAGCGATCAGGGCAAGAAGAACCCTCGCTGCGTCGCCGACGGCAACGAACTCCTCAGGTTCCACTGCACCACCTTCACCTGCTCCCTCGGCGTCGCGGGCGGCATCGCGCTGTGCCGGTCGCCGTCGTCCGCGCAGTGCAACCTGTGCAGCATCATCAGGGACGGTTTCAGGTACCAAACATTCAGACATCTATGACAAGTTCTTCATGTAAAATCATTCTGTGGAATGGCCATTTCACATTTCTGTAATGCGTCAGGGTGGATGGTGATGGGAAGATTGCGACAATGGCAACGAGCGGGCGCGCCCACGACATGGCTCAGGTGCTGTCGGACAGCGACAAGAGGGCAATGCTGGTTTGCAGAGTCGTTGCAGGGAGAGTCAAGAAGGCCAGTGACGAGAAGTCTTCAGAGGACGACTGTCACTTTGACTCTGTCAGCCCCAGCACGGAAGGGGTCTACTCAAATTTTGATGAACTGTTCGTGTTCAATCCTAGAGCTATACTGCCCTGCTTTGTAGTCATTTACAGTGGCTATAACCAGTAGTATAACTTATTAGTTAATTTTGTTTCATTTCACTGTTATTGCTCCTTTAATCCAATTCTCTTCCTTTTTTGGGTAATAGTGCATATTCTGGCTGAAAATCTATCCTAGTTTTCTCTGCAGATTCTCTGACATACTTCATGATGTCAGTATTAAGTTTCATAACGGTAGAACAAACCACAAGGATCATTCAAAACAGTCTGTCAGCAGCATATAACATGCTGACAGTGACAGCAAGAGAATAAGTTCATACACTACCAACAAAACTAGTGAGTTGTGCCAGCTTCCAAGATCTAACAAAATCAATATCAAAACATCAGTTTGTCCTCATGTGCTGAGCTCAGATCGGATGCTTGCCTCCATAAGCATTTTAGCTCCTTCCAAGAATCAGCTAGACAAGAGGTTAAGAACAAATAGGCACTTTGGGAGAAGAAATGGACTGCAAATCTTATATTCTCTTGGAGATGGTACCTCCAGCTACATCCAACTCAATGTACTAGTAAATACAAGTGTAGTACTGATCCCTAGCAAGTGCTGCTTGTCTGTACAGCCCTATATAGCCAGTCTACCAGATGGTGATTGTGCAGTATTTTAATGAACAGTATATGAGGTTGTCTGCTTGTCCACAACAAGACCTGGAAGCTGGTTCTGTCCAAACAGATCAGATGTAGAGGATTGTTTGTTAATTGTTGTTACTCTTGTGTTCCCATATAGTGTTCTGCTGATCAGAAAACATGTTCAAACATCAAGAAAACTGGCGTCCCTCAAGTTGTGTCTTTTGTTCCGTTGGATGCTGCAAACAAGGTGCTTTGAACACTAAGTCTCTGGACGTCGGGTTGCATCGAGATTCAGCCTGAAAATAGAAATATGAAGAAAATTTTATATCCTAGTATGGTCGCTATCTGCAGTGTGTTGGACCTCCATTTAGTGGAACCGGGGATGTCCATTTAATGGAAACGGAGATATGTAACCCCATGTGGTACTTAAAACTGGCTGACAATTGTTGAAATTGCGGCACTGTCTATCGTTACAACAACTATGATGTTTTGTGATGTATTCTCTATTTCTCTAACAAAAGTAATATAAATGTCTCCCCCAAAAGAACAAGTAATATATATCTTATTGATTTATGATTTTCTTTATATAGAAAGCACCATAAGAATTGCCTCCGGGTTATTGACCTCAATTTTTTTGAATTTTAAAAAGCAATAAAATAGTGAGCTATTCTTATATAAAATAGCTAGTCGAGATTTTTATATCATAATTGTTGTGCATAAACTCTTGTGCACGAAAACAAGTCAATTTACTGAAATCATAAAAATAGTGAAAAGTCCAAATACAACCCTCAAGTATGGAGTATGAAACGAACCATGATTTCAAAACTTGAAATTTCAGCTCTCTTGCCCCTCTGCGATAGTCCCAGGATACCTCAGCTGTCACGGGCGTCCACTTTTTAGCTGATTACGAAGTCATACAACAACAGAGTACAAAAATAAGAATAACACTAGACTAATTACAAGCCCTCTAGGCTAAGATCAATCAAAACACCGAGGCTCTACTCGTAGCAGCGAAACTTGGCGATTCTCCAATCCACGGGTATTCTTGAGAGTAGACCGCAAACCAACTGCTAATCTCAACACCCCTGCAAGCCAAAATAATTACATACTACCAGATGTGTGCAGACCATGGTTAGCACCGATGAGGTTTAGTGGAAAATAGAAAATAAAGGGATGTGGCGATCCTAATAGTTTGGCTGTAGTTTACATCCTTAGCACATGTAGGAGCGTCCATGTATATAATATATTTTCTCAAAAACCCAACCGAAACACTCATTCTCACCATCCACTCATCATCCCTCACAACACCCTCATACTCTCAGTCTAAGCGATGAGGCAGCCTCCGCATGCCCCTCATCTCAACGGCCTCAAACCGAACCTATTTTCAGGGGAGAGAAGAAGCACAAGAGAAGACTAGCAGGATGAAACAGTTGATAGGAATGATCATGACCAAGATCGCGACTATACCTATTGTTTTAACTCTGCAGAGTGTACACACTGTGCACCCTACAAGATCACCATCATCGACCGTGGTTGTGGTCTAGGCAAACACCACTCAAGAACTAGCACATTCCTCACCAGACTGTCCCCAAGTGGAGTAGCATACGACACGATGCATATGATTGGGATCAAGATTAGGGTAGCTAGAAAAAAGCGTCGGCATCCTTCTCACTTTGTGCGCCTAGGGCAAAACCCATGCACCTCTTCTTCCACAGATCTAGCTTAGTCCGCACTAACTCAGCAGAACGGGCCCGCCTCATACAAAGCCTGTGGCGTGCACATTTAACATAGTCCCATGTTCCGGGCATCAACCCACGACGGTCCTTAATTAGCCAGCGAGCACCTTCCACGAATCACGTGGCCCAACTCTCACGGGTAGCCACCACCTCACGCGCTTGTCATATAACAATCATATCCATCAAAACCGGATCCGGGTAAATCCTCTCACTCCGGCCGATATCACCAAAGAAACAGGTCAAGACAAGGAATATCTCTTGAACTCCTCATCCCCACCACCCACACAGGATTCAACACTCCCCGCCGTGCTAACCTACCAACTATCTCACGGGAAGCGCCACGGCGAACCCGATCCACCAACCACATCATCCAACCAACCATCACATCACATAACAAGGCATATATGTAATAATGATGGAAGTAAAAGCAAGCAAGTAGGTAGGCAATGTATAAGTGCGAGCGTGAAGCTGTGAAGAGGTTTCCAATCATGGCAATCAAGGCTCGAGCATCAGCATGCATCACTAACTCTAGCAAATGAATAAAAGTAAAGCGCTAACATTTCTATTTTGCAATGGCTAATAGGGTTCTCTAAGGTAAGGTGCTGCCATGACACCTGAGATGTCGAGGAAGTAGTGGTACACATCTCTAGAAGTCAGGGTCTTCCACCATCAGATCCATCGTCTCCGGTTGCATCGTCGGATCCATCCGAACTCGAGTTGTCGCTACATGAAAGAAAAGCCGAGAACGGCCACCAATAAGAAGTAATGAAACCGTAACAAAACTGACTCAAAGAAAAACAGAAGGACTGCACTTGGAGGTAGCGCTAGATTTTAGGATGAATTACCTATGAATTTGGGAAGATGGATAGGTGCTGAAAACAGCTAAATAGGAAAAAGGCAGGGATCAGGCGGGCTGCAATCGCTACCCACAAGGCCACGGCTTGGGCCTGACGCTACTGGCGGGCCGACAGGCTTCCTGGCCAGATCCAGGGAGTAGAGAAGGAGAGGCTCGGATGGGCTGGAAACCGGAATGGGCCGCTCCGCCTTGTTAGGCTAATCACAGAGAGGAAGGGGGCCTTAGGCATCCGCACAGCAGGCGTTCGACACGAGGCCCCCTGAGCAGCGCCAGCATGACCGTGGGGAAGGTGCCACCGCACCTGCATGCACAACCATGTCCATGGCGTCGGGGAGGGAGGGCTAGGCCCTAGGGCTTTCGGTCTTTGGTACTGGGAAGGCCTAACGGGGTTGGCTCGGTTTCTAGGCTTCTCGCCCCAACTGTAGTGACGGCAGGGGAGCCGGAGCGCCCTGACGCGCACGGGGCTGGAGTCCGAAGTCGGCGGTCGAATGGCGGGGCATCGAGCGTGTGGCTTCGGCAAGTGGCACGGCCAGGGTGATGGATTTTCGGCTCCGCGGCAAGGTGGTGGCTTGTGCTTACCACGGCAAGGTAGATGCCGGCTGCTGCCGTGATAATCCTGCGGCGATGCTGCGCTGTGTAGGCGGATGCGGGCTGTGCTCTGGTGGTGGGATGGCGCACTGGTTGGCCACGCCCGGTGTCTCTCGGTGAAACCAGGGCGAGGCGAAGGGCGGCGAGTAGAGCGGAGTAGAGCAGAACCGAGGCCGTGGTGTGCAGGTGGAGAGCGGAACGCTCGTGCTTGACCGCGGCGTTGGAGCCACGCAGGCTCGAGGCGCTCACGCGTGCGTGCGTGACGTGCGCGTGGGTGCGGCGTTCATGTGCGCGGTCGCGATCGTGGGTGGCCCGCACCCGACTATCGAGTGGCAACGAACGAAGGCGGGGGCTTTGGACTGGGGACGGCTGATCTCCTGGTGCAGCTGCTGCGCCGCGGCGATGGCGTTGTTGGCGCCGTCGCGGCCTCAGGGCGGCACGGCCATGGCGTTCTTGGACTGGGGAAGGAGGCAGAGAGGGTGGAGCGGTCTTGTGGAGGCGGACAGGAGGGAGAGGGTGAGGGCGAGGCTGGCCGAGGCTTTTATAGTCGGTCCGCTAGGGTGAGGCGGAGAGGGAGGGCTGGCTGCTGCCTGTGCTCGCGCTGGCCTGCGGGCTTGAGGAGAGAGTTGGGCCACGCGACGAGCTGGGCCTCAGGCTAGAGGGAAGAAGGCCAGCAGGGCCAGATTCGGTCTGAAGGCCACGAACAAAAGGGAGATTGATACCTATAAGCACAACCAACACAAGAACCAAATCACACATGCATGGTTAGACTATATGTGGTGCATCAATTATTTGTAAACTCAATTTGAAGAAGATGAGAGGGAGTTAGGTTTTCATTTTAGGAAATAATAAATCATGCGTGCGGCTTGCATGTCGAATTCGAGTGCGGCTCTAATTCAACCAAGGTTTTTATTTTCCTCGAAAACACCTCTTGTCACGTAGGTGATCAATCTTTATGACAAGCAGTTCATTGTAAAAAGTTTTGAAGCTCGGATTTTGAATTCTGGGCGGGAAGGGAAAACATTTGACTTAAGTTTGACCTAACATTTACATGCAACACACATTCAAGCGAAAATTTTAAAAACTTGAAATTTTTCTATTATACAGAATCGCGGGATGTTATAGTTGAAAGCTATAGTTTGGTTTTGGTAAATTGATGAAACCCTAAGTGCTAACCTAGTTCATCAAGTGATCATGAGATAGATAGCACACTTCAAGTAGAGAAGCAAATGAAGTTCATAACATGACAATGGTGATAGCATGGAG